ATTCAAAATCTCCGGAGACACGACCAAACCGGGAAGTTTTTATTTCGGATTCGTCCACTTTCGTGTAAACGGCAGAATGAATCCGGTACTAAAACGTTTCGGATTCATCACGAATCCTGAACAATTTCCTCTAGTGTAAACCTAGTCTCAATCTTCGTACAATTAATTAAGCCACCACACCTGTAGTCGCTCTCAGGAAAGAGACTGACGCTACATGTATGATTTTGGTTTCTCTAATCCATTCATCAAAGCTGTCCATGTCTCCATATACTTACAATTAAAACATAACAGAAATTCTTTCTTTGGTTCGATTTCCACGGCAAGTAAAGCATCCAGTGGGTTATTGGTGATAAAATTTAATGTCTGGTCGTCTGAGTTGACAAGTTCTAAAGGAAAAAGGAAAAAGCGAAATGCAACTTATAAATAGCGTAAACAGCGAGGAAAGTAACAACTGAAGAAGAGGTCAGACCAGTTGAAATAAAGTCTTGTATAGTTTGACAAAAGATTCTCTGAAACATTTCGAGGTATCGTCTAACACACTGAATTCACATGAATGAATCTGCGCATATTTCTAGCTACGATTCATCGAGAGCTTGGCGAAGCAAGACAGAGAGTGAACATCAGTGAGGGATAACTGGGAATCTCCTGAGGACAAAGAAAATTTCGCGGTCTCCCCTAGAGTACATTTAGTTAATACTTTTGTACAAGAGGGAAAATCAAATAAACAGTACCTCCGCTAAAAAAAAATGCTGAGATATTCTGTAAAGGGTAGTTGTATTTCGTTAATTTTTTTTTTTTACGATTGGATTAGAGTAAATTCTAACGATTAATTCATCGGGAGGAATCGCAACGAAATGATCAAAAAAACAATTTGGGTGGGAGGGGAGGGTTGGGCGGGAACGTGACCCGCGAATTTATAATCAAAAACTTCCACATTTCAGATTTCCATTTGTTAGCATTTCTGGGATTGGTGCAAGAAAGATAAAAAAAAAAACTCACTCTGAGGCCCTCCTTCTCCTGTGATATCATGTATAGTAAACCCGGAGACATATCCAACTAGTAACCTTCCAAATGAAACTCCTAACCATTGAATGTTGAAGTTCACTGGAATTTCCTACGAAATGGAAAACACTTGAAATTCAACATTACAAATTTAATGTAGCCGCCAGTCAAAGAAAACGTGTGCTGACGCGTTATATTTCAATTTCCAATTGAGTGTCGAAAGTAATCCGAGTTTGCTTGGGTTTTGCTTTTCTTCGCTCAGTGATCGGTTCAGAACCTAGCATCATTTTCTCAACCAATCAGATTTAAAATTAAACCCCATAGGGTCGCACGCGTTTTCCCGCGTTTTGGGCAGCTTGCTTGTTTCTCATTGGCTCCCCTTGATTTCTTCCTTTCTTCTGGTTGGCTATTGTGATTACCGTAATCACAACAGCCAATCAAACACTCAATCGAAAAGCGCTCTATTTATGGAAGGACAACGAAGTAAAAACTTGCGCCCAAAAGCACATAAGTGCGTACTTCTGCCAGATCTGTCGGTATCAAACAAGTCCGTCTAGGTACAAAACCTTCTATTGGTCGAAATTGTATAGACTTATCTCTTAGATACTCTATTCCACAGCGACCGCAGCATTATCGAACCATCACTTGCGACAAAAACCACAGCATCGAGAACCATTAAGTTTACCTTGATCTTCAGATGTCTGAACTTTGTTCTGTTCAGTTCGTAGACGTATATATGCCTCTTGACTGCTGCACATAGACAAGTCGCTGTGTTATTATGAATACCTCCTGCTGCAAACATTAAACAGTTTTTCGCTTCTGCAATTTTAACTGGTTCTGTGTCATGTCCATCTACAGCAGAAAGTGGATAGAGTCGAATTTGACGATTCCTTCCTAAAATACAAATAACAACACAATGTTTTAGCACAATACCTAATAACACAGTTTACCCCAAAGTACACATTTCGTTCCTTGACGACAAACAAAACCCTAAATTCCCAGAAGTCATTAAAATGTAACTTCTCCTCTAAGATCCATTCGTTATTCAACAAACAAGGGATGAGAATACTCAAGCTTATCACATTTCTTGAGGGGAAAATTAACGATCAGATGTTGAAAGTTTAAGGGTTTATTTAACCACAGTAAAAAACCACAGCCTTTATAATAAATTTTTCTGTTGTTTTACCGATATTTACCTGATATCAAAGCAAGAAGTTGCTCATCTGGTAACATCTCTATCTGAGAAACCTTCTTATTGTCTCCAATGCGAGACAAACCTGAAATTTAGACAACAAAATGACAAATAGGCATAACAAACATCGAAAATTGAGAAATAACCCTAAGTCTACAAGAGAGTCATGAGGTGAGGCATCTAATTCCTTTAGTTTACACAGAAATTGCTGCTCTAGTCGTTAAGTTAGTTAACGGAGTCCGATTGTAAATGGTGCTATAGTAAAGGCTGTGGATCGAAAAAAGAATGGCAGTTTGGCACGAGTAAAAAGACGGAGAGGTCTCAGTCGGATGTAAAAGAGAGAGGTTCGGGTACGATAAAAAGAAAGAGAGGTCTGGGTCGGGTCGCATATAGAAGGTAGGTACTTGGTGAAATCCTTCATACATGCATCAATACAGAAGAACATATGGGAATACATGATCATTTGCATTCATTAACATACATTAAGGATTACACCAATTACTTACCATATAGAACGCATGGAACACGCTGACTCAGAAATTTAATGTACTTACTTTCTTTCATCAATTCAATACAGAAGAGACCATCCTCTGTACCCAGGCACACTCGGTCAGTGTCGATTATCGTTGCACAGAGTGCTTGTTTGATCTGTGGATTGGACTCGATAACTTCTTTGGCCTGGTAAACTTGCTGTATATAAAACAAAACCACAAAGTGTCAACTATAACCTTCGTGTCTCTGTACATATAGGAGAAATACTACTCACATTTTTCAACTTAAATCAAAACAAATTCACAAAAACACTTCTAAACTCGTCATCTTGTCTTATGTAGAAGATAACACAATAACCAAAAACTCGGTTGCCTCCTTTAAAAATCATTTACAACTCTACCACACAGAAATACCACTTCAGAGTTTAGAAGATGGAAAAATAACAGTTGATTTTGCTTGTTACAGTCGTTCTGTTAGTAAAAGTGGAGCGAAGTAGTTAATAGCGCAATTTGTAGTTCGTCGCGCGACTCGACGCGACTCCAAGCTAACCAACCCGACGCGACCCGATCCAAATCTCTCTCGTTTTTCACTCCTCCGCAGCTATCACATCGTCTGCTATTGCGCTTCAGTTGAAATCCTGGATTTTACGAAGTATGTCTTCCACACACTCAAAATGTTTTAAATATTCAGTGTAACAAGATACTAGTGTTCCAATTAATACAAATTTGAATATCTGTAAGCCGACACATGTATCAGGCACAATAACACAATATAACATCTACGGGGAACATAACATGATGAAGCAAGCAATCTGAAGAAATATAAAAATACCCTTTCACTGAAACAGAGAATATCCGAAGAATGGGCTTACCCTCCTGGAAGTCTCCTTGTTTTCCTTAAGGACTTTGTGCAACTGTTGAAGAGCATTCACCCATTTAACTCGATCATTTTCACTTTCTGTTAGTATCAGCTGTGTTAGAGATTCTCCAGGGGGGTTCATCTGAGATGCTGTAATCTATAAAAAAAAATTAACTTAAAAAAAAGCGTTGCCATGTTCCCACCAATAACGTAGCTCCATTTTCTACCTTTAAAAGCACGCACAACCCACAATTCCTCTATTCGCTCCGACGAAGGGTTAACGCTCGAAACGTCAGCTTTTTTAATCGCTACGGTGGCCAATTTACCATTTCAACTTTGTTGATATATCCAAATTATTTTGTTACCCCCACCGACGCAGCCCCAAACAG